CGAGGACAATACAATTTAAAAGATGTTTTAATCCGCTAGGTGGCGCAGGAGTCGAGATATTTGTAAAACCCGCATTTATGGTCTGATTTGGTTCGTATTTAGAACATTTATTACGTATATGAAAAGAAATTAATCCGAAAAAAATTTTGCCGATAGGTGGCGCAGGAGTCGAGATATTTGGAAAACCCGTATTTATGATCCGATGTGGTTCATATTTAGAACATATATGACTTATATAAAAATAAATAAATCCACAAAAAATTTTGCCGACAGGTGGCGCAGGAGTTGAGATATTTGGAAAACCCGTATTTATGATCCGATTAAGTTCACATTTAGAATGCATATTGCTTACATGAAAAGAAATAACTACACAAAAAATTTTGGCAGTTATGCGGCGCGTGAGTCTATATAATTAAAAATTCGGCATCTGTGCTCAAATTTGGTTTATATTCAGAATAGGTGTATTATCTATTTAAATTGAAATATATTGAAAATTTTGTTTGTTAAGTCAAATTTAGTATAATATTAACTGCAAGATTTCAAAAGACTAAAAAGTAGAAAATAATATTATAGTTAAAAAAACTAAAAACACGCTTTTATTACAACAAGAACTAAAAAGTATAAAATAATTTATAGATATAGCGATTCCGTTTAAGAAGAATAGGAAGTTCCTTAACTTGATTTAATTTAACTTTTTAAATTAGCTAAAAATAGGATTAAAGTGATTGGCCCGTAGTCATAGTGAAAATAAAGTCCCCTGTAAAGTTTGTTGCAGCTTTTTGACATAATTTTGAATGGGATATCTGTAAAAACAAACTGCAACAAACTTTACAGGGGACTTTATTTTGACTATGACTACGGGCCATTCACTTTAATCCTATTTTTAGCTAATTTAAAAAGTTAAATTAAATCAAGTTAGGGAACTTCCTATTCTTCTTAAACGGAATCGCTATATCTATAAATTATTTTATACTTTTTAGTTCTTGTTGTAATAAAAGCGTGTTTTTAGTTTTTTTAACTAAAATATTATTAGATTTTGTCATCGCCGCGCCGAAAATCAACTTGTAGACAGCGGATGCTTGTAGCGGGGCAAGTGTGCAGGGTTCGCGCGAGTTTATGAATGCAAGTTTTTGCTTTATGAATGAATTTCTTGTTCGTTAGAATCGGGAGTTCGGGGAAAAGTAAACGTGGTGTCTGTATGTATTTCGTTGTAGTATTTGTATGTATGTACAGAGGTATTTCGTTTTGATGTTTGTAGAACGCTTGTACAAAGTGTCGATTAAGACACCGATTTCCAATGTCCCGTGGCGTGTATGCTAGAGGTGACGCGTTCATTTTTCGCATGCGGTGGTTGGTTTTGTTGATAGTGATCGAATCCCAGTCGGTGGAATACAATTTTTTATTTTTTTTCTACATTTGCTTTTAAAAATACCTACACAAATTTCCATTAAGTACATACCCTGCAAACCATTTTTTCAGAGTATTCTGCATTGTATAGAAATTTTAATTCGATTTTTTGCCGAATTTTCTAAAATGAAATAAATTACGCACACTTCCATTCTTTTACGAAATTTCGGAAGAAAATCTGAGAACAAACGAAAATAATGGTGCTATGTGAAGAATATCTTTCAGAATTTTTCCAGATTTTTTTTATTTTTCGTACAGAAATTTCTTTCCCCCCTTGTCAACCCCTTCATATAATTTTCTTTGAAAATTCGGAAAAAAATCGTCACAGAAATGAGATACCCGTAACGATTTCCTTAAGATTTCGGGAACTTTGGTTTGCAGGGTACATACTACATATGTATATAGTCAGAAATCGTTGCTAAAAAATTGTTTACAAATGAAAAGCTTTTGATGCAATTTAATTTAATTTGTATGTACAAAGATTTTACACATATTTGATGTAAAAATAAAAGACTGTTTTCGCATAGAGCATGAACCGAGAATTTAAGAAAATTTAGTAGATGTGTGTATACATATCCCGTGCAAACATTTTTTTTAGAGTATTCTGAATTGTAGAGAAATTTTAAAAAATTCGTAAAGATCTCATCCGATTTTTTGCCGAATTTTCTAAAATGAAATAAACTGTGCAGATTTCGATTCTTTTATGAAATTTCGGAAAGAAAATCGGTAAAAGTATGAAAATAATGATGCTGTGTGAAGAATTTCTTGAAGAATTTTTTCAAATTTGACTATTTTTCGTACAGAAATTTCTTTACGAGTTCGTGTCAACCACTTTATAGGTGTAATGTTCTTTGAAGATTCGTAAAAAAATCATTACAGAAATGAGATACTCCTAAAGATTTCGTTAAGATTTCGGGAACTTTAGTTTGCAGGGTCGATACCTTAACTCACAAAGGCCCTAACCAACAATTTTCTTTTTTCACAGATTTTGGTAAGATATGTATATTAAAATACACTTGCACTAAAAATTTTAACGTGGTAGTACCAAAAACAACGGAGTTAGGTATGCCACTTTAAAAAAAAAGTACATAGGAATTTGCAGTTTTTGATTTTATTTTTATAATGTTTTTTTACTTCTCCCTTAAATAATAAAATTTTCTGATTAGGACCTTCGTGAATTAAGGTAACGCACATGTAACATAAAACACACAAAAAATTACCAGAATATCAACTTTGTACAAGGCATTACATTTATTTCTAATTTAAGTCATTTATAATATAATCATATAAAAAGAATTAAACATGAAAAAAAACTATTTTAAAACGAAGATTTGGCAGGTTTTTGGCTTTAAACACACATGTTGCTGGCAAAACACATATCTGTTGCTAAACATTTATTTCTTTGTTTCTACCTCGGAATTTAACAGAATCATGCGATCCAAACGCGTCTGTTAAATTCCATACTAGAAACGTTCTAGATTTCCATTCCACAATGATTTCCACTGAGTCGTTTGCACCTTCTCGTTGTTGAATGTTCTCTGAAATTACTTGCAAAGCCAAGTCTGATTACACTTTCTGTTTCTTTTATGTCAACAATTAAGACCATATTTATTATTGAAGACTTAAAATCCCATCCTGTANATAACGGTAAATTTCAGATATGCTTGAAACTGCAATATTTC